CTTCTTGATTTTAAACTACTAAATTAAGAGTGAAAAGTTATTTACAACTGTTAATTCTGTTGAGTATGTAATATTTCACTCATAATTTGAGCAGTTTATAAGAAAAGTTAACTCGTTAAATGCACAGAAATAAAAAATATGTGAGGTAGTAATCTTATTTAAATTCAAAACATGACCTTGAAGATTTTTTTTCATTGGCAAAAGACTGCTTTCATAATGTTCATTATTGCAGTAATGTTGAAGTAGTCAGAAAAAGTATCGAAAACCACGGTTAGTTTCGAAACTTATTACGTCTAATTTGATCCATACAGTCATAATAATTAGTTAAATAATTTGAATTTAAAGTAATCCTAGAAATTACAAAAAGTAATTCATTCTCAATTTTTTGGTTGTATTTTGAAATAATTTTTCAATCATATTATTGTATAAAAGAAGAATGATAATAAAAGAATTCTAGTAAAACTGTAGTGTTTTTGACTGATATTGTATTGATAGAAAATTTTAATATGGTTAGTCATAATATTAATCTGTCATCTTAAAATAATTCCAATTCGAATATTTGAATGAGAAATGAGAAAATGAACTCTGTGCGATATTAATATGTATTTGTGATTTGAGAACTGAAATAAGTAAGACTTTTGAATAAAGATATAATTTCATTGGGTGAAGAAGTTTGGAAATTACTGAGACATTTTAAAAACGAGACCCAAATTAAATACTTGTACTGTCGTTGTATGATTAATTGTGTTTTGATACGCAGCATGGATATGATAGTTTGCTTGATGATTGGGATGAATAAAAAAAACGAATGTGTAGTATAAAAGAGCCAAGTTTGTTTGTTAGTTGGTAATAAAGGCGTTAATTTGTTGCTGAAACTAATTGTCGTTGAATTATACTTTGTGCCCAAAATGACTCAACTTTTTTATTTCGGTAATTTATGCAAGATTCTTTCTTAGCTCTCAGTCACAGAAGAGGCGAACAGGAATTGACAACTGTAATTGCAAGATGTACGAAAGAAAGTATAAAGAAAAGGTGACACGGCTGGGGTGACAAATTTCATCTTTTGTCAGGGTCAAATTGTTTACCACTGGAATGACAAAGTTGGAAATTGTTGTTCTTCGCTGCAGAAAAATTTAATTACTATCAAATCTCACAACATCAAAGTTTTGATTTTAGGAAAAATTCAGAGAATCAACCTAAACGAAGCAGTTACAGTCAGATTCGCATAAAAATATGAATAAAATCAATGATGCGTAAAAATTAATTAAATTCAAGAAGTTAAGTGGAGATCCGCCTTACTGAAGAAACAGAAAAATGAAAGTCATTAAAGTTGGTCATTGAATTCTATGCAAGACGATCAAATTTGGTAATCAGTTTTATAGTCACCAGTCTCGCTTTTTTTGAGTTTTCACTTTTCCAAATTACATGTATAGTCTATAAATTTTTGTCTGGCAAGAATCAAGCCTTTTCACTTGCATAACAAAAATGTATGAATTTGAACTTTTGCATAGTAATTTATCAAACTTGATAACAAATTTAAAAATTGAAAAGAAATTATTTAAAATTCGAAACCAAAATTTATCATAACTTGAAAAACGCTCGCTGTGATTCAATAAGTGTCATTAAAATTATTACGATTTCATTGTTAATTTATAATTACAAATCAGGACTAATTACATTATAGTACCATATTACTTGATTAGATGCAATAAACATCCGAACTGTTTTAAAAAGATCTGTGAAGACGATGAAACTTAATATCATAAAAAAGAGATCATTTATGAATTGTTCTCAGTGAAGCTAATGTTATTATTGCTAATTATAACGCTATAAGTCAAGACAAAAAATTTCATTTATTTAATCCTTACATAAAATTATTAGTACTTTGTATAACAGAAACTATAATTACGAAGCAAGAAAATAAGTGATGCAGTGAATCAATTTAGGCAACAGAATTGAACCATTTAACTTTTCTGTGTTCATTTTCCATTTAAATTCGTCTAGCTTGTTCAATTTTGTTAGCTCTTTAGTATTTATACCAGTTATGAACAAAGATTTTTGTACAGCTCAAATATCCTGAGAATTGGAGACAAAGAAGTCTTGAATGGATTGCTGACTGCGATAAGAGAAAATGATTTTGCACAGTACACTGCATGAATCGCAAAGTAATTTCAGTTATTCAGTTCACTCTGAACTTGCCCTTTTCATTACGCTGTTTTTATTGGCAAACCATTGTAATCGCAATTATTTGGGTGATCGGTAATTAACTGTCGCTTTCTTCATGAAATTACGCGATTTGTTCATTGATAAGTCATACTTCATGATAAAATATGGATTGACAAACACTGCTTGTCTACACTGATAAATTTTGACAAAACTTGAAATAAATCATAAGTTATCAATCTGGCAATTGCGTGGACAGTCATGTGGAGTGAAGACAAAAGCTTTGCGAAGTGCAAACATTTCAAAAGGAAAAATCATCTTTCACTCGTTGGACTAATTGTTTTCATCTCATTGTCAGCATCTAGCACAAAATGAGTTCGGTCATGAAAGTCTGTCTCGCCTATTTTCTTCCTCGTCAATGCTTTCACATCCACTGATTCATATTTTGGCTTTCCTGAAACAATTAACTTATCTGCTGTAGGATGCGTCAAATAATTTTTAAAACTTGAAAAAAAAAAAACTGAGCTTGAAAACATTGATTGCAAGTTGTCTCAGTGGTTATTTCATGCTCTTCGACTGAGCATATCTTGAGACGTATAATTAAAAGTATAAAGCGCAAGATTTATGAGAGTGCCTGCTACTGTAGTGCGGATATAAACGCCGATATTATTTGGAGTGCGATTTTTCTTTAATCGCTGGACTTGGATCATAGCACTGACCATGTCGATCACTGTACAGGCTAAAGGAAAAGTAATCGGTTTCATACTGCTTTCGGATCCGTATACAGAACAAAAAAAGACACATTCATCCTTGCCCTGAAATCGGTATTACTTTTTGCTGTACAGTGCAGAAGCAATAGTAGTCTTGCAAGGAATGAATGCCAATATAATAGCCAGATACAAAATTTAGTAATGATTTATCCATTATTATGAAGTCAGATACATGGGTGTACCGGAGGTTCTTCTGGTATATCATCAGGACTTTTTTCAATTAGCTTCACACACACGTCGCGCATGTGTGTTGCACGTTCGCAAATTTTAGCGATCTCAGTCTTGGTAAGTCGATTGGCACACCGAAATATAGGACAGTATGGTAGTTCTTCTACAAATTCTCCAACAGTTATAATTTAGTATGAAATATGTTTATGGGCTTGTGGCCAAGCAGTCTCAAGTCTCACATGTTTATCTCATAAGTATTCATTCACTCTATGCCTTAGCAGGAATTTCAGAATCTTTTTGCTTGTAACTAACGAGCGATTTCATGTTTTGCTAAACTGGCAACGCTATCATTTTTATTCATTTTTGTCACAATTTTTTGATATTTTTTTAATAGCATTACTGTTGAGTTAGTGAACTGAATAAACAATGCGTAAGACATACGTGCCGCAACAGCGACATTAATTCGTGTTGTCAAGCAGTCAAAGCAGAGGCGATGACGGCAATCCATCAGTGTCATTCGCGCTGAATTCACGCAAGCGAATGCACCTTCAACAACAATTTTTCCAGTAGTGCTAACCACAAAAAAAAACAAATTCTTAGTTAAAGCTACAATTTTTGTGAAGCACTCATCCAATCATTTATTTTGGGCATCTGGAAAAGCTCATATCAGGCCTTATTTGCACATACAAACAAAAGTGACCTTTGCGACCATCACATCTTTGTCGCTCTTCAAGTTGCAGCATTGAAGGCAGTTTCTGACCAAAGGATATCTTCTGTTTTTCTTCCTCTCCCTCAAATCAAACTAGTATTCTTTTAGACTTCTCTCTTCTCACAGAATGTCTTTGCGTTCAAATATGCATGTGCTATATAACAAAATTACAATAAATAGTTTTGGGGTAAGGAGCTA